GGGGGGGGGGGGGGGGGGGGTGGGGGTTGGACCGTGAGGCGGTCAGTTTTGACATTGTTATGAATTTTTTATCATCAAAATTTCACGCAGAACACGGTTCATACAACGGATGTTACTACTCAAACAAGATATCAGCTATTTTCGATGCATTTCGAACTTCCCACTAATTGAAAAAGGAATTATCTATTTGAGTTGCATCGCAAACTGAACGTTACCGTGGCAATGTGTGCGATATGAAAATATGACAACCGGTCTTAATCTCGGCGTTTCGGCTCAGCCACTGCACGCTGCTTACGCTTTAGACAACACAGGGTGAGGAAGGAAAACTACGAGATTGAAAAGCTTGTCGAAACCGTTGTAGTGCGTGATTTGACTGATTTGGTTCAAGTAGACTCATGTTTTTTTTTTTTGTTTTTTTGTGAGCGGGAAATTCAAATTATTCGTGAACAATGCGAAAAACGACATTGTCTTTGTTTGGAGTTGCTATCAGTTATGTTTGTCGCGAGAAGCGTGCTCTACGTAAAAATTTTGAGGAGGAGATATGTATTAGAATGCTTAAATTCGTACATTGTCAGTGGTTCATGTTTTCTATTTTGGTACCATTTTTAGCCGCATGTGCATATTTGTGTACCGCTTCCTTCATGTGTCAAACCCTCAGAACGGATTAGTGGGGGGGGGGAGGAGGAGAGAGGAAGAGACAAGCTCGCCCACCCATTTTGGAAATCCTTCGTTTTATCTACATGTCATAATTTAATACTATTAAATGAAACATTTTTGTATCAGCTCTTAAAATAGTAAAACAACCCTTTACCCTTCTTGGGGGAAGGGGTGGAGAAGGCAATTGAAGAAACTTACAAATGAGGTTATTTTTGGCATTGCCGTCATCCCGTCATTTCCCCTTATTTCATCATGAGTTGCCGTCCTCTTATCATTTGGGCCTAGGACCTGCCTTTCGTAGTTAAAATGGTTATGAAAATGGGATGGGGTAATGTTGGGGGGGGGGGGCGGCTTTGAAGGGTCAAAATGCTCACTAGAAAGATACTGCCGTTTTGTTCGCACAAAACTGTTGTGATAAATTCACATCAAATGTGTCGCGTCAAGTACCACGTGATTAGATTTCATACCTAAGATCCAAGGGAAACACATCCTCTGAGTAGCGAAAGAGGTGGTAAAAGGCAACGCAATGGAAAGACATAATTATACGGAAAGATAGAATAATTTCAACGTCCCGGAATTTTGTGATAATTTTGCACTGTCATACAATATGTACAACCACATTAGTAACACTGCCCTAAGCAAAAGTGGTATACATTCTGCGGTGTACCCTTTCACCAGCCATCCACAAATTCCCTCTGTGCACTATTAGATAGCATGGCCGAAGTAAATTACAGCAGAAAAATTACCACTGTTATGGTAATTTTGACAAAACAATCAAAACAGTGAAAGTAACTTTAACAAAGACAAGAAGCGCAATTTAGGTAATATCAACGAAGCATTTAGCCCAGCTGCAATAATGTATTGTTAACACTGTGTAGTGTTCATGTATTTAAAAAAAAGAAAAAAAGAAAAAAAAAATCAAATACTTTTAAGTTGCTGACTCCGCGAATACGAGTAACGAACGCGGGCAAAAAAAGCGCGTCCGTCCGCTTGCGAGCGCGTCATACAAGCGCCTTCAACATCGTAGAAATACTTCAAACACTACACCGTTATATATACGTTCCAACGTGGAAATTGCCTACACTGCGCCTGCCGGTGTGCACACCATGTGTATTTAGAAGAGGTGCTTACCGTTCCATCCGTGATCCACGGATCGGGCGATCGAGCACATTCAGCACGCCTGGTTTTATTTAAGTGGTTTCACGCTCCGGAAAGAAAAGTGTGGTGAAAGTCATGGTGGATATAAAATAGGAAACATTATCATTCTGAATGTGCTAGAATTTTGTATTCATTTTATACTTCCATGAAATATTAAGACCTGAGTATCGTGATACCCTAAGAGTAGACCACCCTCTTTACGTGAGAGAGGGACGGTCAAAAGTATGAAAATGGAGAATTCAATATTCTGGACGTGCCATAATTTCATAGTAATTTTTACAAATAAAATGACTCGTATGGACGAGTCATTTAACTTTCCAGTCATGTTGGGTACATTCATACGTCTGCTGTGAATCAAAAATAATTAATTACAAATATAGAGAACCATACATTTTTCGTATGAACTTCCAAAAAATCGATAAAATGAACAAAAACAGCGTCTCGTTTACGTTAGGTGTCAATTTCACATACGTGAAAACATATTCATGAATCGATATGCTACATGTGTGTAATCATCGATTGAAGCCTGGTGACGATATCAGACAAAAAACGGCTAAAAATTAGGTGGAACCCCCCCCCCCCTCATTACTCAGCAACCATGCCTATTCTCATGGCACCAAGTAAAACAAGTACCTTTTTTCCCCCTCCAGTCAACTTATTTCTTAATTTGTCTTATTTTCAAGTGCGCATGGTAATCTTGAAATACTGCGACTGAGATACGAGGTTACAGGATGTTAAAATAGTGTTGGGTCTTCAGAGAAAGAAAGGTCAAAAAAAAATCATAAAATGTTCATGAGATTCAAAAACTTGGTCCACTGAGAATTACCTAGTGCAAGACTGAGGGGAAAGGCAGATGAATTTCAGAACTTGAACATCATACTTGGATACGAGGTTAATTAATGTCAGAATCTACACAAAATACAGCTTTCAAATCATCAGACCTCATTATCTCGTTTTCAGTCTTAAAAATCTCTACTCCTATCTTATTTTTTTGGAGGAAAAAAGTCAGTATCATTCTTGAGGTGTTCACCGAGTTTTCTCCGCACGGTGAAGAAAAATTACGCAAATGTTCAAGTATTGACGTTGAGTAATTTTCCATTTTTAAAGTAAAGTATGCAACATCGCAAGCCTAGATGAATAGTCTGATTCTGATGGTTGCACCATCGTTATGCATCGATGTTTAATTTGTAGCACGATCTGGCATCATACGGGAAAAAAATCGGCGGGCTCGCAGATAGACGCTATTAGTGGCGACGTCATCATAGGGATTCTCTATTATATCGAATTGGATCCAAACAATAACATTGGCATAACCTCTTTCAATGCTACCAGTGCGAAAAAATCGATATATATCGCTTTTCTGTGACGTTGCACTAATAGCGTCTATCAACATCAACAACTGTGGTTCTTAGTAGTGGAAAAGGACACGTGTTTCGGTTTGAAGTCAACATCCGGCTTCAGGGGAGAAGGTACGAGAAAGGAGGGAAATTACGCTTTTTCTCTTTGACGGAAGGCTTCTCATCAGTTTTCTAGAAGCCCGGCACCTGTTTGGCGGGGATCAGAAGTCGCAACGACGGAGACGGGACGGACTAGGACGTACCCTCCCCTCCGACGCCAACAGATCAAAACATGTCTCAGTCTGTCGACACCTCGTGCGCGCCAATCAGCCAATCAGAGAGTGCGAATCTGTGGATGGTCACGCCACTCCAACTCCAACGCAGCGGCACCCCGNAAAAAAAAAACAATAAACTAAATGCAAGATCAAAAATTAGGATGGTTGAAGACGAATGAGTTGATCGGATTGACTTTTAAAATAGGTACTTTGAAAGGAATGGTAAAGGGGACAAAAAAAATGAATGAATGAAATTTTCTATGATTATTTATTTGACCATAAATCTTTCAGACAACCGGTAATACTCACCACGTGCACTCTTGGAATCTGACACGCTATAAGAGATTTATTTGCCTTAGATAGATTAAATTAGATTCAGTCTATTTTCAATTATAAATAATAGTCGCTAAAATAAGATTCCACATTTCAATACGAGGATAATATTAAAAGGCTCGTGTAGTTATAGGTAATATCAACGAAGCATTTAGCCCAGCTGCAATAATGTATTATTAGGGTTAACACTGTGTAGTGTCCATGTATTTAAAAAAAAGAAAAAAAGGGGAAAAAATCAAATAATTTTAAGTTGCTGACACCGCGAATACGAGTAACGAACGCGGGCAAAAAAAGCGCGTTCGTTCCGCTTGCGAGCGCGTCATACAAGCGCCTTCAACATCGTAGAAATACTTCAAACACTATACCGTTATACATACGTGCCAACGTGGAAATTGCCTACACTGCGCCTGCCGGTGTGCACACCATATGTATTTAGAGGTGCTTACCGTTCCATCCGTCATCCACGGATCGGGCGATTGAGCACATTCAGCACGCCTGGTTTTATTTAAGTGGTTTCACGCTCCGGAAAGAAAAGTGTGGTGAAAGTCATGATGGATATAAAATGGGAAACATTATCACTCTGAATGTGCTAGAATTTTGTATTCATTTTATAACTTCCATGAAATATTAAGACCTGAGTATCGTGATACCCTAAGAGTAGACCACCCTCTTTACGTGAGAGAGGGACGGTCAAAAGTATGAAAATGGAGAATTCAAGATTCTGGACGTACCATAATTTCATAGTAATTTTTACAAATAAAATGACTCGTATGGACGAGTCATTCAACTTTCCAGTCATGTCGGGTGCATTCATACGTCTGCTGTGAATCAAAAATAATTAATTACAAATCTAGAGAACCATACATTTTTCGTATGAACTTCCAGAAAATCGATAAAATGAACAAAAACAACGTCTCGTTTACGTTAGGCGTCAATTTCACATATGTGAAAACATATTCATGAATCGATATGCTACATGTGTAATTATCGATTGAAGCCTTGTGACGATATCAGACAAAAAACGGCTAAAAATTAGGTGGATCCTCCCCCCCCCACCCTCATAACTCAGAAACCATGCCTGTTCTCATGGCACCAAGTGAAACAAGTACCTTTTTTTTTCCCAGTCAACTTATTTCTTAATTTGTCTTATTTTCAAGTGCGCATGGTAATCTTGAAATACTGCGACTGAGATACGAGGTTACAGGATGTTAAAATAGTGTTGGGTCTTCAGAGAAAGAAAGGCCAAAAACAAATCATAAAATGCTCATGAGATTCAAAAACTTGGTCCATTGAGAATTACCTAGTGCAAGACTGAGGGGAGAGGCAGATGAATTTCAAAACTTGAACATCATACTTGGATACGAGGTTAATTAATGTCAGAATCTACACGAAATATAGCTTTCAAATCATCAGACCTCATTATCTCGTTTTCAGTCTTAAAAATCTCTACTCCTACCGTATTTTTTTGGAGGAAAAAAAGTCAATATCATTCTTGAGGTGTTCACCGAGCTTTCTCCGCACGGTGAAGAAAAATTAGGTACGCAAATTTTCAAGTATTGACGTTGAGTAATTTTCCATTTTAAAAGTAAAGTATGCAACATCGCAAGCCGAGATGAATGGTCTGATGGTTACACCATCGTTATGCATCGATGTTCAATTTGTAGCACGATCTGGCATCATACGGAAAAAAAATCGGCGGGCTCGCAGATCAACATCAACAACTGTGGTTCTTAGTAGTGGGGAAAAGGACACGATGTTTACTTTTTGCAGGCAAAGACCCCCTCGGAATGAGCAGGCAAGATGGCTGCGTGGCGCGACGGGAACTCAGAGCAGTTCTATGGAACGATTTCTGTAACCCCTCGCCCCACCCCCCGTAACTTCTCGCGCGACCCCGGCGGCCGTCCAGTCGCCGCCATCTTACCTCAAAATTAAAGAAGAAGAAGCAGTGCAATGTTATTGTTTACTTTCGAAGCATGGTTATCTACATTGGATATTATTTCTTTCATGGGTTATCTCAAACATTACCACAGTAAGTTATGGCTAATTCTTCATCTTCTTTTAATGCCAGTTTTGGGAAAAACTTCTTGAAAACTGGAAGGTTATGTCTGAATCCATTTTCCAGCTGTCATTTTGAAAAAATCGATTCATAAACTTAATTTTACTTCTCAGAAACTGAACGTAGTCTCACCACTCGATCAGTCAGTTTAGTAGAAAGATTATTCTTATATGTATTTTAAAGTTTCTCTGCTTTTCTTCCTCTGAAAATAATTACACCATCTTCAATACATTCCATGTCTCATATTACCCTTATTTACTGGACACTTCTTGATAGTCCGGAAAATCTATGGTAGAAAATTATGGAGATAGTGTGAGAATTTACGGAGTCCCATCAATCAGCTTATCACTAGAAACAGATGTTTAACTTTTAAAATAAAGGAAAATTACTATAAACTACTACAAATCTCTCTTTCCCTCTCTCTCAGCCCATTCATCTAGTTGTTTTATTATTTTACAGTTAAATACCATGGATGATTCTGTTGGTGCTTTAAACGCAGATACTGTACTTCAGTTACGGCAGTTGGGTATCCCATGGGCCCAACTGGCCCGTGAATGCAATATCTCCAGAAATTCCTTATACAAGCGTCGTAAACAGCTGGGCCTAGAAGAACCGAATTCGCATATTGATAATGTGCATTTGGAATACCTACTACGAGGCCTATGTGAAGCACATCCATCATGGGGCATATACCTACAAAATTTACTGGAGAAGGTGGCCGTTCGCCGTTAGAGCTTTAGGCGCCGGGAGCTGCACTGCACAGTGCACACTGCTAACTGCTAAAGTGCACTGCATAATGCCAATGCGCGGGAAATTGGGATGTAAACAAAATTCCACAAAATTCACTACTTCTTCTTCTTCATTTTCATTTCGACAGGGTCCAGTTCGTTGCCTAGACAGGGAACGCCGGGGATAAACTTAATTTTACTTCTCAGAAACTGAACGTAGTCTCACCACTCGATCAGTCAGTTTAGTAGAAAGATTATTCTTATATGTATTTTAAAGTTTCTCTGCTTTTCTTCCTCTGAAAATAATTACACCATCTTCAATACATTCCATGTCTCATATTACCCTTATTTACTGGACACTTCTTGATAGTCCGGAAAATCTATGGTAGAAAATTAAGGAGGTAGTGTGAGAATTTACGGAGTCCCATCAATCAGCTTATCACTAGAAACGGAAAATGGATTCAGACATAACCTTCCAGTTTTCAAGAAGTTTTTCCCAAAACTGGCATTAAAAGAAGATGAAGAATTAGCCATAACTTACTGTGGTAATGTTTGAGATAACCCATGAAAGAAATAATATCCAATGTAGATAACCATGCTTCGAAAGTAAACAATAACATTGCACTGCTTCTTCTTCTTTAATTTTGAGGTAAGATGGCGGCGACTGGACGGCCGCCGGGGTCGCGCGAGAAGTTACGGGGGGTGGGGCGAGGGGTTACAACCTTCCAGTTTTCAAGAAGTTTTTCCCAAAACTGGCATTAAAAGAAGATGAAGAATTAGCCATAACTTACTGTGGTAATGTTTGAGATAACCCATGAAAGAAATAATATCCAATGTAGATAACCATGCTTCGAAAGTAAACAATAACATTGCACTGCTTCTTCTTCTTTAATTTTGAGGTAAGATGGCGGCGACTGGACGGCCGCCGGGGTCGCGCGAGAAGTTACGGGGGGTGGGGCGAGGGGTTACA